TTATATTTTTAGACCTTTGTATGCACATAAACCATCTGTACATGTAGTTATGGTAATTGCACACAATGGACTACACAGATATCTAACAAGCCATGGCATTTAGTTTGCAGCCCTTGGGATCCCACCTAACCACCACTCCCCACATCACTGGCTGCAGCAGCAGTGTCCAGACTCCTTTTCCCTCTGGTTTCTGTGTCTGCCTCACTCCAGGGAACAAGGTGGGACAGCACAACACAGCCCATGCTGCCTGGGGAGCCCATGGCATGGAGGAGCAGTGGAGGAGCCTGTGCCCAGGGAGCTGAAGGTAGGACCGGGGCACCTGAACCCCCCCACAGTGCTGAGGAGGGGAGGGAAGTCTTTGCATGCCTGGTGTAGTTGGGGGTAGAGAGGGCCAATGTGAGGAGCACCCAACAAACCCATTGTTGCCACTGATTCAGTCCCCAGGCACTAAAGTAAGAAAGCCCTGTAACAGGCCATTTACCTATGCAGTTACGATGACCAATGGCAACTGTACCAAGTAAAATAAATAAATAACATTAGCTGCATTTTTGCCTGTGCAAAGTGCTTGTCCCTCACATTCTTTCCCAGTCAGAGAACCTTTAGAAGATCCTCCTATTATATTCTCAACTTTCCATTCATACTGAAGCAACACAACTGGAAAAAAGAGAATGGGAAGATCATGTTGCATCAGCCTGTGCTAAATGCATATTTAGAGTTTAATAGTTTACAATAAAGAAAACAGCATAATTGTGTAAAAGTATGCCGCAAGCAGGCCTTGAAAAGTAAACAATAGTAAAAGATGCTATGCACATATCTGAAGTTGTCAGAAAAATGCATTTTATGCTAAGCTGTGCTGTATTAAAAAAAACCATTCCTTCAGTGGAAGACTGTACTATTACGAATGTACACAAGGTGGCAGAGTTAAGGTGGAATATTCAATTTGTTATTTCCAGATTTGAACTGCAAACTGTTTTTAGATAACATCATTTGTCAAAGTAAACATTTAAAAATCTTACTTTTGGAAACCGCTTGTACTTCCTTTTGGAAACATAATATTTTTTTGTGATAGAATCTGATTGAATCTCGAACTATATCTAAAAACTACATCTAAGTAGGTGGTACCTGTGCTTAAACACTATCTAAATTAAATATTATTTTTAAATAACTCACAATCAACTTCAAACTGCCAAAATACAATACACAAGATACAGTTACAATACACAGGCAAAGTTAATATTATGTATATGTTAACTGAGCTGAGAGAAAGGAAGACTAATCTAAAAAGGAAATAACTATGTTCTCCAGTAGGAGAAAGAATGTAACCTTAATCTGCAGCCCCTTTTTTAGGAATATTATGTCTAGTTCTTATGTCTGGAAGTCTTTAAATCCAGAATGCCTATCTTTCTAAAAGCTTTGCTATAGCTCAAGCAGAAATTATGGCTTGATACAGAAATAACTAAGTTAGGATGTGTGGTATATTTTATGCAGGTGGTCAACCTAATTATTACAACTGCCTCTTCTGGCCTATAAATTCTATACCTCATATACAAAAGTAACACCACAAAAATCGATGATACACAAGCTATTTGGAAATGGCTAAATATTTTACAAACTAATAGGCCATTTAATTTTAGATTAATTGTAAAACCACTATTTTCAAAAGCCAAACTGATGCAATAAAATCACAGCATACATCAGAAAGAGGTATTTTAGAATACATTTTAGGGCAGCTAAATTAGAATCTGATGGCTGCATAGAAGAGAGACTCAACTAGCAGTCTTATAAATGGATGATTTTACAACTTAGAAATCACATTAAAGCAAATGACTAGCAATTTCATCTCGCAGCATCCTTTCCAAAAGGATTACTTATTCCTAAATGAGGTCCCAATAGTGCAACTCACTTCTATTATTATTTAATCTTTATATCCTTTTAGGCCCAGATGTCCTGGTCAAGTACAGAGACTCACTGTTTGGTACTGTACAAGCACCAGTAGTCAAAAGCTATCCTCAGAAAGGTTGCCATCTCAGTAATAAACAGTTTTGCAAAGACAGTGAAGTTTCTACATTTACTTTTTATCTTTAAGTATCATTATTTAAATTTTATAAAATTCTTTTCCTTGAACAACATTGTTTCTCACTTATTATATGGAATCAAGGAACAAAGTTGTAGCAGAATAATTCTGCAGCCCATATAACAAAATGATGCATAAATTATGCAGTTGCAAATCACTGTATTTAGCTGAATATAAGATGAGGTTTTTTTCCCAGACAGTAGTGGGAGGGGAAGGGGGAAGCCCCTCCTCTTGCATCCGCATGCGAAGCAGGGGGCAGGGGGCAGACGGTAGCTTCACTGACTATAGCCCTGATCCCAGCTCCGAGCCAGAGTCAGACCCACAGAAGCCTCCTGCTCTGCCCTCTGCTTTCTCTCTGCAGCTTCTTCCCCTCCCACCCACCCCCTTACTGTCAGGTACAGCTTGGCTCCAGCTGGGGCTGCAGTCTCTCTGAGCATGGAGCACATGGAAACTTCTTCCTCTGCCTGGTCAATCAGCAGCACTGACATTGCTGCACAGCCAGGCAAGGACTGGGCTTCTAAGTCCTGTGCTCCATGATGGAGCAGCATGGGGAAGAAGTGGGTGGGGCAGAGGGCCAGGGGGCCACCTCACCCCTCCCCCAACCACTGATTTCCCTGTGGTAATGCAGAAGAGGGGAGGGAATTCAAAACAACCTGCCAACACTTATATTCTATACCTGGAAAATTATAATAAATTTATAAATTTTTCACATATAAAATATAATTATTGGGGGACTGTTTTACTTTCAGGGTCATCTTATATTCAAGTAAATATGGTAGGCTAGGAAAGATGATGCTGGGGGGTTACAAAGCAGGTTGCAAAATGCAATAAAGAATTAAATGAAATGTAAAGGATCAATTAGTGACTAAAGGTTTGGTCTTTTAACACTTGAATAAAATGTACTCCTATATTTTTTTTTTTAGAGAGTGTTGCACTGAAATAAGTAGGTGAGTCTGCATGAAGCTTGCGAGGAATCTGTGGCTAATGCACAACCACTTGTTAATGTATTTTTCACAGAATGCCAACAATCAGGTTAGCTTGTATTATTCAATATCTATATGCTGAAAAGGATATACCTTTAAGTGTGACTATGTATTTAGAAGCAACTGCAATGACAGAAATGCAAACATTTCTGCAGAAACCAATAAGGAACACTAAGAGCAGATTGGATCATTTCCTTTCTTTTATGATTAGGGACCGATTCAATTTGTGATTTTGCAAAAAGCACAAAATCTGTGACTGTCCATAAAATAAACTTAAAAGAAACTTAATAAAAGTAAAATACTGGCTCCCCAGTGAGAGCCGGCAGACCTCACTGCCTCACAGCCAGCTCAGGGCAAGAAGGCACTGGCTGACCGGGCAACATAAAGTGCTACCAGCAGCCAAGACGGCAGCTGCCCCTTCATCCCTCCCTCTCTCTGGGGCCTCTCCACCAATCAGCAGCGAGGAGCAGGGTTGCACGAAGGGCAGCCAGTAGCCAAGATGGCAGCTGGCCCCTCATCCCTCCCTCACCTCCAGGAGCTCTCCACCAATCAGGAGCAAGGGGAAAGGCCACCAGGAAATACCTGCAAAATTGGCTCTTTGTGCCATGACCAAGCCATGAAAATTCCTTTCGTCCCACCATGAATTAATTAGGTCCCTGTTTATGATTACATATTAAATAACTATTACTAAATATTTACAGATGTTTATGATGGATGAAACCTAACTTGATTTTCAGATCCCAAACTAAGATAATAATTTCCTTAAGGTATACTTTTAAAATTTAAAATTGGAATCATACTTCTGAGGTGAAATAAGTACATAATTTACACTGAATATTTTATACACGTTACATTGCATATTCTTGTTAATATTAAATGTATATTTCATTCTATATAAAACACATTTTAATATTATGTAGAAATGGTTGAATAAGTATATTTAAATACATATAATCTACACTTGGTAATGTTATGAACTGCTTCTTGTTTATTTTTCTCCAGACTACAAACAACCTTACCTAGGTCATACTGCCTTTTAAAAGAAACTCTTAGTTTCATGAAGCTTTGAGGAGCAAAATTAAACAAGCCCACCCTAACAGCTGTGACTTATCAAGCTGAAAGCACTGTGAAAATGATAAGTTTCCTCCGTGACATTTATGTTGACATTGCAATCAAATACACATTAAGAAATTCACAAATATAATCGCCATCCATTTAGACAGATTTAAAAGATAAGTAATGTAGATTATTCTGTCTAAATTAGCCTGCTTCCCATTTGCTAGTAAAATGCTAGTTTGATCACTCCAACAAAAATATCACAGCAACCATAATACTACCCTCATATTAAATGATCAATTCTTGGTTTTTAATTTCAAAATACAACTCCACTATTGACCCCAGTAGACCATGACCATACAACAAATTTGGTATCTAAATTAAAATTTTAAATATTCTCCTCAAGAATTAGTATTGTTGTGTAACAACTTATGACTAAAAACTTGAAAAGGTTAGCAGGGTAGCTTCATCCATTTGTGTTACTCCCTAAAAAAAAATAGCTAGTGTCTTCTGAAGTTCGGAGGCTCCAAAAAAGTCAACACTTCCTTGCAAACACCCATCCTAGATTCACAACCAGTTTCTCATTTTCTCTTGTTCAGATTCAGATATAAATTGTATTTGATAGTAACACAATGAACAACCAGAAAAGGAGATTTGCACAGGTGAGAAAGTCTGCTTGCTCTTTCTACAAGATCAGAGTTAATTAGCATTATTTACTTTCAGAAAGAAAAAAAAAATCAGCATTATGTGTAATGCAGTAGGATGTAGAGGCCTTAACCAGTGACCTAATAATGCTAGACACTGTACAAACGTAAAACAAAAAAGCAACATTTACTTCAAAGATTTAAAGCATAAGAAAAGTATAATTTTCAAGGGCTAGTACATACCTGATATAGATAATCCTCAAATACAAAGTAGTAGTCATCATTGCTTGCTGTCAGCTTTACATCCTACAATTAGAAATTACTGCAATTTAAAACTGAAAGACAGCATTTCCACTTGGAAGACTCCTGCAGGGAGACTCCTGCAGAATCTAAGTACAGCACGATGGTTAAGAACATGGTTTCAACATCAATATAGTTTCCTCTCATTTATCAGATAAAGTCAGACTCAGACGTCATACTTCTAATTCCAAAACAACATCAGCTTAATTATAACTATATTCTGGACTCAGAACTCAGAAACCCAAAGTTCTTATTTTGACAATTTTTGTTTTAACTCAAGACCAGTCATTGCAATAAAACACCTTCAAATTATCACCAACTCACAAAATGTGTAATAGCAATTTAAGGCTCAATCCTGTGTTCAAAGAGCACTCTGTGGTTTTTTCTTTGGCAGAGAGGAGGGAGGGGGGAGTTTTACATATAGGACTAGGGTCCAAAATAAGAATTCACATTAACTAGTATTCCCACACTCTAGGTAGCCAAAGTTTTTTGAAGCAGGTGTTGCTTTGATCAGCAAATACACACTATTTAATAAATTACTCACCTTGTAAATCAGGCTGTCCACTAAAAGATCATGCTGAACCACATTTGACTTAAGCTGCTCATAATACAAAATATCCTAAAACAGAAAAAAAAATCCTCTTTGGTCTGAAGTAAAATAAATGGTGAATTAAAGGAGAAAAAGTACAAGACAGGACCTATATTAACTATTAATTTTTTTTTTAATATCCTCCTCCTGGTTGTCAAAGACTGTGCGTCATTGTTCATACTTTTCCTATATAAAAATTAATAACTGAGGCAGTAATGTTTGACTTAAAACAACATCTCTTGCTAAGTAATATACTTGATAACTCAAAAGAACTGAAAACAAGGGAAATAATTCAGACAAAATAGTTATACCAAGAGCTTCCAAAACCTTTGTGCTCGCACTCTCTCTGGAACCAGTTCCCCTTGAAACTTTAGAATCATTCTGATTTCCCTATTTGGTACCTGCTATTTTTCTGCATTTCTGAATATATGGGTTCTGTCAAGTATTGCTTAATATTAGCAAAGCTGCTATTAGCATGTAATTAGCACTGAATAGGTTAGGCATTTGAATGTCTGGCTATTCAAACACAGAAAATATCTGCCTAAATGATAGAAACTCCAAAGGATATTGCATAAGGAGTAGATTGAAGAAGAACTCAAATTTTTCTCTTTTAATCTTAAATCACCTGATTATTCCTCAAAGGTTTGTAGAGCAGGCATAACTGTAAACCAAGGAGGGAGTTTCTGATAAGAATAATCTTTGTGCTTTTGTCCATTTAATATTTAATCATGGTAAGGCCACTTGCGCACCTAAGCCCTGGAGTGAAATATAAAACTCAGAGTTAGGTGCCTAAACTCCCAAGGTCTTAAACCTCCTTAAAATACAGAGCCAGAATCCTCCCTTGAGGGTAGGTGCCTACAAGCTCAGCCAGAAGGGATTCAAATGCACTTCTTCCCTCCTAAAGCAGCATTCATGTCACCAAGATAAAGGTAAAGCGCATGTGGAAATTAGAACTTGTGCTAGAGGTGATATCTTATTAGACCAACTAGATGTTTGCCAAAAAAATTCTTACAAGCTTTTGAGCACAAGCACTCTTCTTGAGGCATAGGAGAAAATATTAGAAAAGTTCTCCTAGGTAGAAATTAAAGTTCATATTTCATAGGAGAGTTGAAGGTGTGGTAAAATCTCTTGGTTGGAACAGTTCATTTTATCCAAATTAGGCTCAGAGAAAAGATGAAATAGTCCGTTTACCTCAAAGTTGTTCAGTGGCAAGCAAGATCTAGAGACATAAATTACAATGAAACTTTTGAAAGACCTACCTAAAGCCACAGTTTTATCAGCACTATGCTAAAAAGAAAAAAAAACTACTCTTCATTGGTTTCTCCACATAATCATTTGAAACGTAGCAGTCAATAAACAAGTATACCTTTTCAGATGATGCTGAACAACACTGCATTTTAAAACTTATTTTAAAACACTGATATTATGGATCACAGAATTTTGTCAATAAATTAAACACGCTGAGGATACCTTTTGATCCAAGTTCAAATACTAAAGAATTAAACACTTCCGTAGTCGGCATAATCTGCAATCTTAAAATTGTGCCACAGGACAGTATATTTCCAGATTTTTTATATAGTATTTAAGGAAGCCCATCTTGTAAGTTACTGTATCCAGCAGAGAAATACAATTAGACGACCCAGAAAAATTTCATTAGTGTGGTGCGTACCTCAGGAACCTGGAAAGCCAGTAGTTCACATTAACATTTTATTTGCTGTTTACCTGTAGTTATCCAACTTGCTTATAACTATATTGGGCCGGTCTCCTAAAACAACTAAACAATTGCATGCTAGAAAAACCATTATGCCATTACTATTTTTTCCCATCCACAGCAACTTCAATGGATACCTTCTGCTAAGCTAGCTGTCATGACAACTCCAATACCTATTCTACACCACTCGCCCCCTTTATAATTAAAAAAGAAAGGGAAGACAACAATACAGGGACTGTGCCACATGAACAGCAGAACTTCGATGCTGGCTGCTCAACAATTAAACCTATGCTTGACACATCGTCAGGTATGAGGGAACTAAGGCAACACTGATTTCCATAGGAAACAACTGATAAAGAAACAAAAGAGCCAGCACCTTCTTCTAAGGACCTTCCTAACTAGAACCCTTTCCCCTACTCAGGCTGCCTTCGCAGCAATTTCTTCCACACCAGAACTCAAGGAGCACAACTTCCAGAGATGAGGACAGGAGCAGGGAAGATGAACAGGAACTCTGGGGGTCAATATACTGTGCAATAAGGAGCATCAAGTTTCTTGTCTCAGACAGCAACAACATTTCCCTCACATAAACACACCGTCATATTCACACTTGAGGTTTCCTGCTCAGGGTGAATCAGTGCAGATTCACCATATTGATAGGTCTATATTATTATGTATTACTGTTTACATTTAGCTGCAAAGCACAAAAAATAATTTTTGGATATTCTTAAATGTGAACATAAGCATGCTTACAAAGGGTTGCAAGGTACATTTAACAGTTAGGAAAGGGTTTTTTTTTTAAATTACCTACTTGGCCATATCTTTCTCAATCCAAAAAGTAGGACAATGTGGGAACATGGCATTAATAAACTGATGTTAATTATCTGGCATATGTGCAGCTACCATTGAGAGAGGTGTTCTAAAAAAATCTACTTAGCAAAATAATCACTGTTTAAGAAACTGAAAAGGAGGGTTAAGGACCTCAGTATTGAAAAGTGTGTGGCACAACAGTAGGAAAGTGTTTTTTCTCTGTTTTTCTCCAACACCACAGAGAAGCAATTACTTTCTACATAACTGAACACAGCACTTGGCCCTTAAGAATGTATGAGGACACCCAACATGCATGGCCATCTTCACCGACAAGTTTAAAATGAAATCTAGGGTGCCTATAGATGTTTAGGGCCCCATTTTAACTCACAGTGCTTTACATGAGTTACAGCCCCCCCGACCCAGCACATGTTCACCCTGGACAGCAGGAGGGAGCGCTCCAGAAGCCTCCGAGATTGGCAAACTGCCCCTCCCCCCACCCCCACAGCTCTGGGGCTGCCAGCAGGGGAGGGACGGAGAGCAGCACAGAGCTGCCGGCTGGCTTGGCCTGGCCAGATCTGGAGAGACGAGGTGGAATGGGGCCCCTTTGCCTCATGGGCCTCCCTCACCTACCTTGGTTAGGGTACTGGGGGGGAGCTGAGCCAAGCTGGGCCAGTCCTGTGAAGCAAGGGGGGCTCTCTTCCCCCACCCAGGCCTCTTAGCAGCAGTGGCAGCAGCGGCTGGGTCAGCTTGGCCTGGCTGGAGCTGGAGCAGCAGGGAGGGGGGGGGAAACAGAGCCCCCTCACCTCATAAGACGGCCTGGCTCGGCTCTCCCCGTACTCCAGCCGGGGTAGCTGGGGGGGGGGCGCAAGGCGAGGGAGCTCCATTCCACCCCACTTCCCCTTTCCAGCTCTGGTCAGGCCAACCCAGCCAGCAGCCC